CTGCAACATGCCGAGCTCTCGGAACAATTCCCTGACCTGGGATACTTCCAGTCTGTATCCTGTAGGTAGTCCTTTTCATCCTCTTGCTCTGGACCAGAGGCTTCTAATGCAGTCTCTCTCAGCCTGGCTGCTGCTGTCTGGTCCAGCTGTGCTTCCTCCCCATGAGCTCCTGCAGCCCCTTCTTCCCCTGTGGCAATCAGCCCCATCTGCGCTGCTCCACAGGCCTTTATAGCCAGCCTCCAGTTGGAGCATGCTCAGCACAGCTGTGGGGGTGGGGCCTTCTCAGCCAGGTCAGCCAAGTTAACCCCTTTGGGCCCAGTGCGGGGTTGCTACATCCTGTTGTACATCCCTATGAGGGAGGCGTGTCCTGTATCCATGGCAGCCAGGCATGGTGGGCCCAGTACCACAGGGAGTGGGGAGGAGGGTATTAACCAAGTGGTAGTTGAGGAAACCTTCTGCTCCTTGCAGTAGTCAGGAAGTCTTGGCAGCTGGGCTCCAGCTCCAGAAGTGAAGAGGGCAGCACTGAAGGTTTGGAGGGGGAGTGGGAAGATGCATTCATGAGTTCTGTCCCCCTGATGAACAGGGTCCCCTGCTTTGAGACCAGATCCATCTGCTTTCCCTGTGCAGGCTGTGTCTGTCTGAGTAAGATGCACTGAAGGGCCAGGGTCAGGAAGGGGCTCTGCATGTGGGTCTAGCCTCCTTACTGGAAGAGTCTCTGCCAACATCCCCAGCAGATGAAGCCTACACCTAGCATTCAAAACCATCGGCACAGAGCCCTGTCTGGTTCTCCTGCCAGACAGAGCCCCCTCCTGATTGCAGCCTTTCAGTGTGGCTCCATCAAGTCTTTGTGCCTCCCGGTAACCTTACTGCCTCCAGAAGGCTGCATCCCGTACTTTGGGAACCTCTGGGCTCTAAGTACATTGAATCAGTAAGTCATGGGATCCGTTCTGCACTACTACATTGTCTAATTTTACAAACTTTCTGACACTGGAAGGCAAGCGTGACAGGAGTGCGTACCTTGCACTCCACAAGCAAGGGTTAGCCCCACACTAAGGGTGGAGAAAATCCCACCTCCATACTGTGCTGGACATGCTCCAGCCGCTGTTCCAGTAATTGAGGGAGCAGCTTAGCTCAGACGAGGCTGACTACCAAGAAGGAAGGATGCTTGGTGGAGGCTCTAGCACAGAAGCTCCACAGCCTCTGACTGCAGGAGTTGGTGATCCCAAGAACCAGACCAGACACCTGTTACCTGCCACCAGCCAGCTAGAGTCAGAATCCCAGGGAGCTGCCTGTGCTGAGGAGTCCAGAGATCCCATTGCTATATGGACCCCGGCTTCAGGAGATGAAATAGGGAGGAGCTAGTTGTAACCTGACTGGAGCAGTCAGTGCGTTGTAATGGGATTCCTGCTAACTGAGTGGCAGACACACTCATCAGTGCCAGGGCTTTGGTCTGGGAATCAGTGGAGCAGGGGGGTCCAGCTCCCCCAACCCCAGCCACCACAATTGCCCCTCTTGGGTGGTGGCCCTGGATTCTGGCCAGTAAGCTGTGCATCTCGGAATCCAAGGGCAACCATGCGGCTCTGAACCCAAGGCACTGTGGACTTTGAGCCACACTATCTTTGAGTCTAAGGGCAGCCTGGTAGGCTGGAAATGTCGTGCTACCACATTCACAATTCACCCCACAGGGGGAGATGGAGATATGTGTGCCATGATAGTAAAGTAATAATAAAATTGGCTTTGCATAATGATTTTTTAAAAAATATGTTCAAATATGGGATATTGAAATATGGGTCCTATACTGATTTAGTATGTGACAGGCAATTTTCTGTTTAAATAAAAGGCATCCCTTGTAATATGGGACTGTTGGCAACCCTCAGCGCAGATGGCTCTGGTGGTGTATGTGTGTGTAGATAAAAGGGTGTGGGATGGGTAGAAAAGGTTGAGTGTCGTGGCAGGAGTGAGGAACTTTACTCAGGCATCAGGCAGTTCCCAATTCATCCCTGATTCAAGATTTCAGGTTGCCAGATTCCTTTCAGCCATGCAGCTCTGCTAGTACCACTGGAGACCCTCGCCTCCCCAGAGAGTCTTTCCTACAGGTCAGCTCTTTCTCCCTACACTCTCCAATCATTCCGCTCGGTTAATTAGTTTCAAAGGCCCCACCCTAGGGCTGTGCTGGAATTCAAGTAGGCCTCTCCAGTCCACCCCATCCCACCCCGTGGAGCTCCCCTCCCCTACCACTCCTTGGAGTATCACAGTTTGTCCTCTTGTTCTGGGGCCCACCAGCCCTGCTCCTTACGGTTGGACTGTGATGCAGGCAGGCTTCTCCAGAAGAACTGGGAGATGTAATTCTAGTGATCGTTAAACTGTTTTCCCATCCTGAGAAAAATTGATCTCCCCGCTGAGTTAAATTTCCTTTTCCGTGTACAAATGGAAAATCTTTCTTCAGTTGGCAGCTACCTGAGTTGACAGTATCCTCTCAGGTTTAACAAGACCATTAATCTATGAAGCTTCATCTCAAATGGAAATCCAGGACAGCGCTGTAATCCTTACCAGTATTTAGGTCAGGTAGGAAACCACCCACAACTCTTCTTGGGTGAATTTAAGTGGCTCCAAATGCAGCTACTTAATGTCTGAGGATCTCACACTGTACAGAGAGTGGAGTGAGCCAGGACACAAACACGAGGGCTACATCTACACTGGCCCCTTTTCCGGAAGGGGCATGTAAATTTCACTAGTCGTCGTAGGGAAATCCGCGGGGGATTTAAATATCCCCCGCGGCATTTAAATAAAAATGTCCGCCGCTTTTTTCCGGCTTTTAAAAAAGCCGGAAAAGAGCGTCTAGACTGGCCCCGATCCTCCGGGAAAAGTGCCCTTTTCCGGAGGGTCTTATTCCTACTTCATATTTAAATCCCCCGCGGATTTCCCTACGACGACTAGTGAAATTTACATGCCCCTTCCGGAAAAGGGGCCAGTGTAGACGTAGCCGAGCACTATGCCATCTCTCAGAGTCTTGAGACATGCACTCCCTTTTGTTATACTTCCTAAATGTCCTTAAGCTATTTGCTCTTCTGCAGTTGTTTGGAGCCTTAAATCCCCCTGGAGATACACAATAACCTCACTCCACCTGTTCTATCTTCACCTGTTCTATCTAGACCTCCTGCAACTTGTGCTACATGAGAGCAATCAAATCCTTTAACTTACTAGGCAAGTCTGTTAGAGCTGTATACCTTTCCACTGAAGGCTAACCTGCATAGCACATAGTCTTGGTAAAAGGCTGAAAACGCCCATCCCTTCCTGGAACTGTAAATAATTGCTGCCTGCTCCTCGACACATTCAAGTTCAAAGAGATTGCTCCACCTGAGCAGTCTTGATGTCTGCTCCAAAGAGGTCTATTTGGAGCTAATTTGGGGGCAGCAACGATTTGCAACGGAAAAAGAATCACTTCCAGGACAGAGAGATATTTAGAGAGAGAGAAAGAGAGAATGGTGTCATGGAGAAGGTTACCAGGTCTCTTTCCAACCATGCTATTTTTTGTATCCTCTGCAAATATCTTCCTTGTGTTTTATGTGAGGAATGTAATGCATCAACTGAAAAAGGGGAGCAGTGGATACTTAGAGGTTCAACCCCGATTTGTTAGCCAAGAAAATGCAGTAATTGAGCGACTGGACCACTTGGAGATGTACATTCACAACTTCTGTAAGTAAATCATTTCACTGTTCAGCAGCAGATTTACAAGTTCTGACTTCACTAGAATTAATTAGGTCTCTCTGTTCTTCTGCCCGAGGGGTACTTTGTAGCACTGTAGAAGTCATTTATATTTTTGTGTGTTTCCTGGGTTGGTCTAGACACGTCTTCTCTGCAACATTCTGATTTAAGAAAAGATTTGAGTGTTTTTCTGTCCCATCTATAGGGAATAGCTTCTCATTGATAGCTGTTTTACCTGCTTTTCTTTCTAGCCTGGTACTGCCCTACTCTCTTTTAGGATTGAACGGGGTTTATCATTTAGGGGTTCATAGCTGTAAATGTCAGAAACAGCCAGATGTGCAGTTTGCAGTTAAGATCAAATATGAAACAGTAGGCAGAGCTGATCACACTAGCAGATTAGTCACGACTCACAAGAAAAAATAATTTCTTAGATTTTTTTGGTGCTGTAAGAAATCTATTGTGGGGAATGTGCCTGTTTGGAAGGGAAGGGTGGCCTTGCAATTCCCCTCGCTCATTTTTCCTGGTCTCCGCTGTCCTGGGAAGCAAAAGGTTTGAACATGGAGAAGCATGACCAGGCCCTTTCTTTGTTGTTGTGATTTCCTAAGCTAGAAAGCACTGGCAGAGGTGATATTGTCCAAGTGGGTTGCTGAAGCTGGGGATACCAGCTGACTGACCAGTGTACCAAAGAACGAGTAGTCCTGTGGCACCTGAGACTAACAAAATCTATAGCATGTGGACACAACTACTCGTTTTTAAAGTTACAGACTAACACAGATACCCCTCTGAGACTTTTGAGAAGTGTACAAAAGCAGCACCAAATGAGAGCTGAAGGGAAGGTTGTTCAACCCTGGGAACTCAGAACGTGGCAAGAAACATCTGAAGCAAATTTTCAGCTCAGGTAGACACACCTGCAATAGCACGTTAAACAAAGCAGTGGAGCTTCAGGAGGGGCTAACTGCCCTGAGTATGATCCTGTTTGAAGCCTAGGCATGTACTTGGTTAACCCTACCTGCTGCTTATGCGCTATACCTACACTTCTATTTTTAGTGCCCAATATGTTTTAGCATGTGTACATTTGCCTGAGCTGAGAATTACCCCTCCTAGCTGCAGTCTTGAATGGGATGAAACAATCGTCTAGAAGCAATTGGGGCTTTGGGACTGACGATGAAGGAAATCCCTGTGTCACAGGGTAGCTAGTCCAAGTAGATAGAAAAAGTCCAGCTCCCCTGGACCAAAGCAAGGGAGTCCAATCCAGGCAGTTAAAAAGGGCTTCCCAGTACCTGGACCTATATAGGGCTGCTCAGGAGCAGGTAGGAGATGGATGGAGACAAACTGTGTCCTGAGGAGGGAAAGCAACAGCAGGCTGGGGATAGCACCTTGGGGCGGGGTTGCTCCGAGAAAAGAGCAGAGCTGACTGAAAATGGGAAACTGCTCAGAAGCAGGCGTGCCAAAGATCCTTCTAAGGAGAGGCCCTGAAGCCTGAGGGTACTGAATGAGCTTTTTTTTTTTTTTTTTTTTTTTTTTTCCTGTTTGTTTGCTAAACCTCCATGAAAGAAATAAACTGCCTTGTGAAAGACTAGACGTGGCATTCCATGCTCTGGCACTGGGTAGACGCCTGACCTGGTAACATGTGGTACCAGGAGTGAGGTGGCCAGCCCACCCTCGAATAAGGGGAAAGACGGAGGCACTAAAAACCGCTCATTAGTGGCAGGACAACAACAGCAGACCAGGCCCTGCTGATATAATTGGTGGCCCAGTTTGCTGCATAACAAAAGTGTCAAGAATTTCACTCTAGACAACAAGAGTGAATACAGAAAAGGTTAGGTTGAGCCACATCTGGTAACACACATGGGACTAAAGGCTGGTTGGTCCTGGGCCTGGAGAAACTTGGTCTGGAAGATGCTGCTGAGGCCTTCCTCTGAACATTTGCGTGGGTGGCAAAAGTGGCAGATTGGGAGGTGTTGACTAGGGTGGCTTTATGGCATCTTCCTAGTGGGTAAGATGCAGGAAGCTTAGCTGTTAGTAAGAGATGAGCTGGTGAACTCTCCTATCCAGTTCTGAAGGTTGCCATCATGGACTGATTAGGGCTGAATCCTGAGGCATATAATCTCAGGTTGTGGGTAGAACCATTCTTACAAAGGGCCTGATGGCAGGCATGGGTCAGAAATTATGGGACCTTGTGACGCTGAGATCAGTTCAGTGGAGAATGTCTTGGATCAGATGATGTTGGAGCCATTCCTGAAAGTTCTACTCAGGGGGGCACAGAGCTGGCCTTCGTGAGGGAAGCGGTGGAATGAGATGAAGTTTTCTTTGAGGAGAAATGAGGTAAGTGTTCAGGGCACTATGATAAACTGAGGGGAATTCAGTAGGGGGAGCTCACAAGGAGGAAAGGTCTTGAGTGACCAAGACTCGGGGACATGCAAGACCTACAAGAGGACCCAGGTAGCCCTACAGTTAATTGCTAATAGTGGCGAGAGGGAACCAGAGGGTGCTGTGGTTTGCTTCAGGTGTGACCAGTCAGGCACAGTAAAACTGTGGCTAGTGTGGGACCAAGCAGTGGGGGGCACTCCTAAAGTCAGCAGAGTCCCACTGCACGTAGTAGAAATTAGGGTGGGGGAATGATAGTCAAGGGACTTGTAGACTCAAGTTGTATGCACATGCTGGTTCAGGAAGATCAGGTGGGGATAAGTAGCCTGGACCAGCACTGCTCTGAGCCTATGGTGAGACCTGCATCTATCCCATCAAAGAAGCTGAGCTGAAGGTTTGGGGTCCAAGAGCTTGATTGTACACTGTCGTGGTCAAAGGACTGCCTGGGTCCACAATTCTGTGGCGAGATTGGATGGACATCCCAGCTCTCATCCAACAGGGGCTAGAACAACAGCCATGACCAGGAGGGTTTGACATTCACTAGGAAAAGAAATAAGAGGGCTAGGGGCTGGAGTCAAGATGGCAAAAGGAGACCAAGGGAGAGGTCACAACCTTCCTTAGGACTGAGGGATCAGCTTAGAAAGTACCAATGATCTCTGGAGGATGGGTTGGTTTTATACTCCCAGCAAGTTCATGGAGGACACTAAGCTAGGGGGAGAGGTAGATACACTGGAGGATAAGGATAGGGTAGTAACATAGACAAATTGCAGGAAGGGCCAAACATTTGATGAGGTTCAACAAGGAGAAGTGCAGAGTCCCACATTTAGGATGGAAGAATCCCAAGTATTGCTTTAGGCTAGGAGCCAATTGCTAATCAGCAGTTGTGAAGAAAAGGACCTGGGGATTACAATAGATGAGAAGCTGGATATGAGTCAACACTGTGCAGTTGTTGCCAAGAAGGCTAACGGCAAATTGGGCTGCATTAGTAGGAGCCTTGCCAGCAGATTGAGGGAAGTGATTCTTCCTCTCTATTAGGCACTGGTGAAGCCACACCTACCGTATTGTGTCTAGTTTTGGGCCTCCCTCTACAGAAAGGATGTGGACAAATTGGAGAGAATTCAGTGGAGGGCAATGAAAATGATTAGGGAGCTGGGGTACTATGTGGACCCAGGCTGAATTACCTGTCAAATGAACCAGTGTGGGGCTTCAGACAGCACTACTCCAACAATACGGGGACGGGGAGAAACAGGGCTCTCATGCAAGGAAAGAGGTAGCACAGATCTATTTAATGGTTCCCCTATAAAGTCCTGGTGACCTTATAGAGCAACTGAAATCAGAGAAAAGCAAATTACAGAGCCTAAAGATCAAGAAAGAAAAAAATGGCCACAGGTCTCCAGTTCACTTAAGAGAACAGAGAACATTTACTCCTCATGACTCTCAAATTTGAGACTGAAGTATATAATCTGCAAGCAGAGACGGCAAAGTGATTCCAAAGTCCAGAAGACTTAGATAAGAGTGTGTGGCGACTATGCCCAGTGAGCTTGGGTAAGTGATCCTGGCCCTGCTGCATAAAACTTAGCATCACTGGGAGCAAAAGTTTGTGTTTGGGGGCTAGCTGTGGCCTCTAGGGCTCAGAGAACACTCAATGCCTGGCCTTGTAGGAAATGACTGAAGTGTTGGTATTAGGTTAAACCACTGAGGGGACTATTTGGGTGGGATTAAAACAAACTTTCAGCCCTGAAGTCGTGTAACATTATTGCCGCCCGGCCCAGAGTTACACCACGCGACCCAGCACCAGGCCCGGCAAGTGGCCTGGAGCCCTGGAAGCAGCTGGGGCCAGGGCTATGGGGACTTCTGGGGCCCGATCACAGACTCCAGTGCCACAAACTGGAAGGCAGAAGGTGGGGGAGGGGAGGGAAAGGGGGAAAAATAGGGGGAAGGGGTGGGAGAGGAAAGGGCTTGTGCTGAGGAGAGGGCGGCAGGTCAGGAGAAGAAAGGGGAAGGCACCAAGGGACGGGGTGGAGGAGAGACAAATGCCAGGGGGCCAAGTGCAGACAATGAGGGAAAGGGCAGGAGGGGAGGTGTCAGTGGGAGGGGAGACAGGGTGATGCTGGGAGAGGAGAGGGGAAGGGCACTGGGAGCTAGAGAGGGAAGAGGGAGGTGCTGGGAGAAGGCTTGAAAGAAGGGATGGGCATGAGGAAGGCAGGGATGGAGCAAGTCATGTGTGAGGGCACAGGGGCATGAGAGGAACGGGGGCAGAGAGTGGTGAGGGGGTGAGCATCAGGGAAAAAGAGGGCAAAGGGGGCAGCGGCAGTGAGGGAAGGGGGGCACCAGGAGGGGGCAGGGGTTAGGGAAGGTGCAGGTACCAGGGGATTCTGGGGGTGAAGCAGAAGGGCAGACACCTGCAGGGGAGGGACCAGCACTAGAGGAGATAGGCAGGGCAGGAATGTAGAGGGAAGTGTTAGGAGAGGGGATGAGGAGGGGTACTGGAGGAGTGGGTACAGGGGGGAGAAAAGGGGCAGGTCGCAGGAGGGGTGAG